TAGCCTCATTCCTACTCACGGTGCTGCCCCGTACCTGCTGCTCCCAATGCTCATATAAGAGATAGCAAATGATGATTCCCCTGACACCTTCTCCAAGTCACCAACCCCCAATAATCCCTCCAGCTGTGCCAGCTGGACAGGCCTGGGCAATTCAGCTCCTCCAATGTGTCTGGCGTCTGCTGCAGACACCACCTCTGAGGATCACTATGCCTTCTCTAGGTCTGTCTTCTGAGATGGAGGAGGAGGCAAGAAAGAACAAAATGTAAATTTCAAACTCAAAATTCAGAATTTTAAAAATATATTGTGAATTTGGCATACTGAGAATTTATAGCCCTGTTGTAGCCCTGTTGATGAAAATCATCAATCATTTCCATACCAGCAGCCTGTGTTTGTATATAGAGATTTCTAATCCAGACTGTGAAACTGTAGAAGTTTATTCCTTGTTCAGGTTCCCTGTGCTCTATATTTTAAAAATTTAAATAAATAAATAAATTTTAATTTTTTTTTTTAAAAAAAAGAAGAAATTAAATTTTATATTCCAATTGTTTAGTTCAATGTTACAGTCAGACAATTTTTGCATTAAAGATTTAATATGGAAAGAAGGTAATGTAATTTCATTGTTAAGTCTATGTAAACTGCCCACAGTAGCTCTGTTCATTGAAAAATGTGTTGGATTTACCCTCTCTTTGGTACAGAATTGAACTCTAGCATGAATTCCTGCTGAAATACCTCTGTAAACCTGTTACCAGAATGTTAGTCTCTGCACTATTGAACTATAGTCTATATTAGACATGGATCTTTTGACTGTCTAATCAGTTTATGTCCCATTAATACAGCCCATTTCCTATGTTTTGGATGTGCTGATTCCACAGATGGCAGCGGTCAGCACCTACCAGTAAATGTTTGTACATTACTTGATAGTCAGGAGAGCTGTGACTCCCAGAGGAAGGCTTGAGTTGATAGCATCAGTTCTTACATCCTCAGGTCAAGGTAACTTTAAACTGATGATGATTACAATTACACTGCTAAGGAGTGATTATCTCAACTAAAGAGAAATTATAAATAAAAATAGCTGTATTTTTTACGTATCTAGATCTTATGAATCCATGTATACAGGTAATGTTTACCAAACCTGGTGTTTAATGGACAAGTACTGCCAACACAAATTTGGGTTACGCTCTTAGTAGGCCGACAGCTTTCACTTCATGTCCCCCTGATCCTGTGACTGCTCAACAATGCTTTTGGTTCTCCATCCTGACCTGCCTGCAGCAGCACTTGCTGCTCACAAGACAGATGTGTTCTGCTCTATGTTGCCCCACATGTACAGATTTTAAATCTTTTGCGTTTTTTGCATATCAATATCTGACTGTGTTTCCAGAGGCTGAGTGGAAGCTACCCACTCAACAGCAACACCTGTATTTAACTGTTTTGAAAGGAAGCTTTCAGGGCCCTTTTGGAAATGTCAGTGCTTATTCTTGGAAGAGTTGCATCTGATTTTAGCACATTCACAGGCAGCTCCAGGTCTCCCTCCTCTCCAGGTTGGTGCTGCAGTAGTCCCTCATCACCACAGAGAAGCAGAGGCCGATCGCAGCCACAGCCAAAATGGTGTGGAGTGCAGGACAGAGCCTGCTGAGTTCCCTTCCCAGCAGCCTTGGTCGTTGGCTGTGAAAAAAATATAATCCTCTCCTTCTACAATAGGGAAAATATCTCAGGCAGGAGCTGTGAATAATTTGATATCTCATCATGACAACAGTTCATACCAGAACCTAGTGAATGACATAGAAAGGAAAGATCTTAGACAGTTATTATTATTTTTCTTTCCATGATAGTTTTAGCTGAATCATGAAGGAATTTGAAACATTGTGGGGAGTGCACTAAAAACAGAAGATGAGCTAAAAGGATTTGGCAGTACTTAAATGCATTTCAGTTCTTCCCCAGACTATGATGCAGTCTATAGAAAATGCAAACACATTTTGCCTGGAGACATCTAGTGCTGCAAATTAGGTGTAAGAGTAAGCTGATGCAGTAATCCTGAAAGGCTATATCCGACTGCTCACTGAAATATGCCTCTTCTACTATTTAAAAAAATACTTTTATTGTTGTAATGCACGTAAAGACAGCTGGGCAGCCAGCTCCAGTGCAGTGCAAAGAGGAGAGCGGCCGAGGCAGGCACCTCCACGCTACAGGCCTGGAGGGCCGCTCCCTGCTAGGCCTGTCCCTGCGGCCTGGCAGTCCATTAGGGACCTGTCCCTCTGTCCTGTCCTGCCCTTGCTGTCTGGTTCCCTTCCCAGCCTGACAAGGAGCAGCTTTGTTGCTTCATTTCTTCAAGCGGCTGTTGAGCTTGTTTCTCAGATACTATTGCTAGCAACAACTTCAAGACATGATTCCTTTAGACAGCAATGTCCAGCAGTCGAGAGCTGAACCACCTCTATCAGCCTGTCAGCCATTTACTGCTGTAACATTCTTTCACTATCTGAACGTGACCTGACTTTACCATTAGTGAAAGAAATTTTAAGCTTTTGTAATTAGAACTATAGCGCCAGTAATCCTATAGCTGTAATTGTAACATAATTTAATACACTAAGTTTCATAGATATCTACAATAGATGGCTTGTCTGTGATAGACATCTACAAGTTAATGGCATGTCTGCTCATGAAGGTCTTGTGAGACTGTATAATTAGACTGTCCTGAAAACCTCCCCCAACCCTGATTGTCCTTAGTGAAAGCTGCGTGGGCCTCTCTTCCTTCACTGTCAGCTCTGAGCTGTGCCAGCAGAACTGCTGCAGTTGTGCTCTGCCTCTAATTGTCTATCTATATGAAGCACATTGTGATTAGTCTTTGTAGGAGCAGTGAAGGTTTAAAAACAATCTTAAGAAACACTGAGTGTCATTGTTCGGTGTGTCTCTTTCATTTGCTGTGGTAAGTAGAACTAAGGTGAACATTTCACCTTAATACTAAAAATATTCCAAAATCAGCTTGAGAGAGCCTAAGATAACCTGCCTAAGATAACCTAAGAACCTAAGATAACCTAAGATCTCAGGCCCTGCGTCAAGCAGCATGTCAGAACAGGTATCTCCAGAAGTCCTCTCCATCTAAGACTTTTCTGCAGTTCTACAATTCTAAGTTAATGCACTTGAACTATCACAATAAATCTGACAGGAAAATCACCATCAATGAGACATTCCCTGAGCAGATTTACGCTGGACTCCAACGATCGTATATAGTCTGTCCTATCAGATGCTATCTGATAGGAGTTCCTATCTATTCTACTCATCAAAAAACAGGTGGATGCTACCTGTTACACAGCTCAGTGAAGGAAAGCTTTCTACTACATTGCAGTTCCAGTTGTACAGTTGCATTAATCAAGGGAGACATCTCTGGACAGGGGGGTATACTGGCAAATTAAATGGCTGCAGCTTTAAGAAAAGATGTGGGAAGACAGCATCAGTATAAATTAATTGCTTTCTTTTTTTTATTTTTATTTTTATTTTTTATTTAGCCTCTCAGGAAAAGAACAATTCTTTCAGATTCAGAGATACTTGAAGAATATTATATGCGTAATTCACTTTTGTAATGTGGTGTTTTTTCAGTGAAAAGAACATCCACAGACTCAGTCACTCAAGTGATCCTTTTCAGTCCCTTGCTTTAATGGATCTATGGAAAAGTTATAACTAAAATTGGTTCCAGTTTATGAGTGGTGGCTTTGCAAACTTCAGCTTTATATAAGTCCAGGGATCAACTCTTGTGAGAAAAGCAACACAGCAGAATATGAAGCCTGTTATTTTTGGTAGGGTGTGCAGTGCTGAGCTCCATGTCTCTGTTCTGATCTCTGAACATCTGCTGTAAGCCACGGCTTTCTCATAGCTCTCAAAAATGGTTTGTTCCAACCAACACAAAGCATCAAGCAAGTTGTCAGTTAAGTAACTGGCATTTTTTCCAGCTACTTGCCATCAACTAGAAGCCACTGTGGTACAAAGGAGTTTTAATTTGGATGATGAGAGAAATTTCAGCCCTCACTGTGAGTTATTTTTGATCATTGAGTCAAACAGGCCTTTAACATCTAGTATATTCTCACCTTCTGGGTTAGACGTTTTTCATATACTAACTGGCTTGTGCATTTGCCTCTGTTCAGAAATATCCCGGTATTCTGATAATGTGTTAACTATTTTCATTTGTATGAATCCAAACCTTGACTTTCAGGTTTATTCTGCTGTGCACAGCCTCTGCATTATTTTTACACATTATCCCTACTCCTTCCCCCGCCTTCCCTACTGGCACAGATGGAGAAATACTCAGTGGCTTTAGAATAAATCTGTGATGAACTGTGAAAATCCTTGATCCTTTCAGTGGCCTGGACCAGAAGTGTGTTTTCAAATTCCTTTGAGTTTTGGTTTCAGAGCCTCAGCTCTGAATTCTGCTGCTTGTCTGTTTCCTTACTGCAGTCTGTCAGGGCAGGCTCAAGTTACTCTTCTCTGTGCATTTTACCTGTTTGCTCTTCATCCTGACTGGTTGTAGTTCTACTGAGAGTGTTCACAGGTCTTCCAAAAAGCTGATGAAAATTCACTTGTTCTCTACAGCTAGCCTTATCCCAGATTAATCTGTCTCTTCGAAGTGCCATACCAGTCAGGACTTGCCTTGTTTTCTTTCTTTCCAATTGTTTGTAGTGGTTACCAGGAGATTGATCCAATGCTCTTTGGCTGTGGGCTTAGAGCTGTGCTTACAGCATAGTCCTTTGACCTGTCTACAGCATTGTCTGTCCAGGGACGCAGCTTTAGCATCAAGAGTACCTTTGCTGCAAGAGCTCTGCTGTGCTGCTTTGCAGTGGTCAGGAGCTCTGAGCAAATGGGTAGGTTATGTTAATGGTCACTGTATATTGTTTCATATACTTCTCATTAAGATGAAATTAAAAGTGAAAATCAAGCAGATTCACCAGAATGTTACTGGTATGATTGACCGATTTATTTTCCTGGTCTTAAAAGAAGGTACAGATTTTGTACCCCAAAGTAGGATTTGGGACTCTGAATTTTAGCCTTCTAAAAGCAAAGTGACTAGGCTGAGCCATCTTTACTTTTTCTAGGGTTGACAGAGACAAAATGTCATCTCCAGTAGATGCTATATTGCACTTAAGTGGGACAGAACGAAACATGCTCTGATGTGTCAAGCTGTCGGGAGCCCAGATTGCTGGCTTAAATGCACTGAACTTCTCAGTGTCTGAAGTTATCTAAGATGGATCCTACCAGAAGAGTTTGCAGTCTAAATATGAACTAGCCTAAGGTGCAAACTGCACTTAGCACGCCAGATATGCTTCAAGAAAGTGTAGGCATCTATGTAGCATCGTCATCAAAAAATCTTCCTGGAAGAGGTTTAGAAAAGGATTTGGAAGAGCAAAGGCGGTTGTGTGATACGTGAGAAGAGGAGAGCAGTTCTGGCACACTGTAACAGAGACGGAATTATTGCATCCACCCCTCCAGCTACCTCCACCCCCAAAATCTGAAAACTTCCTGATTTGTGTTCATCAATAATTAAGAGCCCATCAGCAATACTCAGAGGGAGCTTGCATTGCACTTCTGAGCAGCCAGATAGTAATGTACGGTGGAGAGATCCTCTCTTTCAAATCCCAGGGCTCCAGGCCATGCAATGCTAGTATTGCGTTTTCAATTAGCTTCTGAGTGAATGCTTGGCATATGCAGAAGTGAACTGGTGCACAATTAGCTTATTGTTCCTTTTAGCTTTGTGCTGAGAGGATCTGAAGGACTGGAGAAGAGAGGGGAGAGGGGAGTGGGGAAAAAATAGTCAAGCCAGCGGCATCTCTGTGGATGTGGAATAAGGGAGCTGCTCAGCTCACACAGATCCACTTGCTAAGTCGGGAATTACAGCTGTTACTGAAGAGCACACAGCGTGGCTTTAGGGAGGGCGCCGGGGAGAGCCGCAGAACGAGGCTCTGTTCTGAGGCGTTCCAGGCTCTGCTTTCGCCTGCCTCACCTCAGCATTGCGATGGAGCCCAACAGCCCCAAAAAGATCCAGTTTGCTGTGCCGCTGTTTCAGAGTCAAATAGATCCCGAAGCAGCTGAGCAGGTAAGCAGACAAGTTTCTGTCACGGTTTTGAGGGAAAGGGGTAGAATGGGTGCAAGATGTAGGGTGGTAACAGGTCATACTTATGGCCTAAATGCTTTTCCAACTTACATTAGCTTAACTACAGACCAAATGTTCTGGAAGTTACAGCACTGTCTGGATACATGCAAAAAGAGAGTTGGATATATCCTCCAGACAGAATAAGCCTTCTTTATCTTGGGTAGGTTTATTCAGTATGTATTTTCTGTGCTGTTCCTGTAACTGGACTTTGTGCTCTAATGCATACGCTCCACTTGAATACACATTCTCAATAAACTTAAGAAGATTATTTTTATATAAAGCAAAACATGAAGTTTATAATAAGTACCTAATGAGACATATTGCACAGTCCAGTTAGAAGACAGCTTATTTACCATTCATTTTAACATGATAAAATGAGTTACATTTTGCACAATTTATCCTTTCAGTTATATCCTGTATTTTACATGATTAGTATATCTTATTTATATCATTGTTAAAATGTTTTACATATTTTAAAAATACATACATAAGTGTAGAAATATGTCTGGATGTAGAATTGTATGTATGAGATTAATATGTATACTATTTTAGGTTTTGACTCCCATACACGTACACAGATATATGTAATATATATAAAACAATACAGCAGTCTGTGGAGGAAATTTGTTTTTCTGTACACGTGGTTATTATGTACAGCTATGCATAGATGTACATAAAGAAGAACAAACATAAGCTTAGGAGAAAATCTGGATAAATTGTAATTAGGTCACCCAGTATATTTCTCTCAGTGCAAGTACTTCTCGACATTTGCTTCTATTTTTGTAAGTCTAGTTTTAGATGATACCAGGGGACTTGCATAACCTTGACAGTTCTGTGTTAACGACAAAAGTATTGGCACCTTTAGGACAGGTGTCTTGTTTCCTGAATATTCTGATGTGAGCCTTTGCCAGAAAGCGATGGCTTGTGAGTGACCACTGAATGAAGAAGTACTAGAAGGGTGAAGGAGAGAATTGCTGCAGGTCTTCATTTTGTCCATTGGTACTTCTGAACTATAAGATGTCCGTGCCTTATGAAAAGTCCTGCATTGAATTCAAGCAGGCTGTGTTCTGATTTTTTTTTTTTTCTGAAATCTGTAAGAATCATACTATTTGGATTTCACTGGATTCCCATGGCTTTTGAAATGCTGTGCCACAAATTCTGCCTAGATTTTAAGGGTAATCATTTCGTTGTTGTTGCGAGTTTAATTCCAAATGCTATTCATTTATGCTGTGGAGGTGTGATGAAATTAAATTAGTAAATACTGCTGTCAGATACATTTACTCTAATCTGGAATAACCCCATTAAACCTGATGATGTAATTTTCCATTTACACCTCTGAAAGCAAAATTTGAACCCAGCTCACTACAGAGCTCAGCAATTAAAAAAGAACAAATGCACTGACATTGAGCACTTGTGTCAGTGTGGTTTCTAGCTGAAATACCCAGTCTCTCTCTTGAATTCAATAGAATATTGATAGCCTGGAAGTTTTAGTGTAGCAACTTTCAATGCAAATATGTCCATTATAGAAGGGTAGTCCAATATCATGTAGTTCAATCAGTGTTAATGGAACAAAAAAAAGCTTAGTCAAATAAAGCTTTGAATAAGAAGAACTGCATACGATTTCTATTCAGAAATACATATTGATAGGTAAATATCTAAGCTAGTGCTATTTGGAAACATTCTTTTTAAAGTCTTGACTATTATTTTCTTTAGTCAAAGAACAACAACACCACTTTTGGCTACAGTTTAGAAATATAAATTCATCAGAAAACACATATACAATGTCAGCTCTCAAGTGTGCTTCAAAAAAAAAATCATATTCATAATTGCTTGTGAGAGCTATAACAGCAGTAGCTATTTGAATATATAAGTTCGCAAACTACTGCAGTTATTTTCCTGAAACAAAGCTAAATACCAATATTTTAAGATATAACCAAAACATATCAGCAATGAATGTCCAAAAACTTATTCAAGAAGGATCTTCCCTGTGTTTTCCATATACAAGCATCAGCATGACCCTGATCACTGTCAGTCCAGAAGAGCAGTCAGAAAGACAGCAATGTGCTGCTGTTCCTTTAAATATTTTCTTTTTTAACTTTGCCTGGTTTAGAGTCAGGAGGACATCAGATGGCTTGTTTGCTTTGCTTTGAGTGTGGGGTGATTGGTGGGCCCTGATGACTCTCCTTGTTTTGTGCACGTTACAGATCAGGAAAAGAAGGCCTACGCCAGCATCACTCGTCATCATGAATGATCATGTGCCCCCGGGTAAGTGCCAGCATACTTTCTAAACTATTGAATTTGTTTATTTGGGATTGTCTGCAAAATGGTTAGTTAATGAACTACATGATTTTAAAAACCCAGCAGTAATTTCAAAATACTAAATATTAAATAATGGACCATAGAACAGTTTGGAGTAAAAAACATGAATCTATGTAAATCTTGGCCTCCAGATGATGGCAATTATTTCAGTATTTTATACTTCCCTATGTTTTGTTGTATGTACAAGGAGAGTAAACATGATCCTTAAGACATAATAAGAGTCCTTAAGACATAATTTGAGCCCTTAAGACAGAATTTGAAACACATTACCTACTTTACTTCACATCAAACTTTTATCTTATATAGCCCTCTGCAACATTATTTTCCTGCCTTATCTCTTCATTCTTTATAAAGCAGTTCAGGCTTTTTCTCACTGATGTATCTTTTAGATCATTGCTGTATGCACTGGTATCTCAGTAAAATTAAACCATCTTAGCTCTACTGGGATCTCCTCTTGCTGCAGTGTGCTGATGCTCTCCCAATCTGATTAATGTCACCAGTAGCTGAAATTCCTGAGAAATGTGCTGAGAGAAGCATTTAAAGAACCCTGCTCTTGAGGTTGAGATCATTGCAGCATAGCTCAGATTAGGGATGTTCAAGCATGGCATATGGTTAAGGTAATATTATTTTGACACTGCAAGTGGCCCATGCATTTGCTGCAGGGCTAATGCTGATCCCAGTTTGGAGAGTAGTGTTCTGGCCCATGTTTCAGGCAGTTCAGCTCTCAGTAATGATGCATGAAAGATCTACCTCAGACCGACTTTCCTTAGGTTAATGGGATACAGTGCCTGTGTTGCTAGGACTTAATTTAAAGCAAACTCACCTTGACTGATAATCTCTTTTGCAATTCACTTTGTACAGTTTGTACTGTCATATTTCCTTTTATAAACAGATACTTGGTAGAGTACCAAATCAAAACCAAACAGAGAATAAGAACTCTTTTTAATTTACAGGAAATTTTAGTGTAAACAAAGTGGTGCATGTCTGTTATCTCCTTTCCTGCAATGTTCATAATAAATCTTTAAATAAATCATTTTTATTATCAGTTAGGATTGCTGCAAGTATCAGTAAACTTCCACGTAAACCCAAGAGCTAGTATTCGTCCTTTTCACCTATGTTTATTCATGGATATGTTATCCCCTCTTATTAGGTACTGGAAAACCAGTATTGAAGAAAGTTCTTTGGTTAGATTAAAATGTTGTCTTTTTATTTTTTTTTAGTTTTATACAGAGTAAGACAAAAATAACAAAATTATAAGCACCTTCATTTTCCTTTCCCCCTTCACGTCATTTCTGCATGAGTATGTGCATATGTGTTTCCATATGGCATGCTTGATATGGGCAAGTGTTTTGAAAGGAGCATGCACATGTAGCTATGTAAACCCACTGAATACAAGATCCACAAAGCCAAATTGGAAAGTCAGATTATAGATTTGCAATGGGAGTATGAATCATAAATAAATTCATTACGGGTGTGATCTTGCAAGGTGCCAGGCAACTTCTGAAATTATTGTATACCTTCAACTTTCAGAGGAGTCAGCAAGTCCTAGAGACTCTTGCCAACTTGCAGATTAAACTCCTACTGCTAGTTTGCTACTCGATTTTGAATAGAGTTCAATGATATAACAAATAATGATTCATCTCCAAACAATGGTTAATTCTTTAATGCTTGTGTTTACAGTCAATAAAATAACAGTAGTAAGGGTGAAAACTTGACACTACCACAATTTTCATTAAAAGCATGATTCTCTAACTATATGAGGAAAAATGAGCAACAGAGAATTGAAGTGATATTTTCAAAGATAACTATTAAATTAGAACTGGACTAAACTAGAACCCTGTCTCTTTATTTTTGCCCACTGAAGTACTTCAGTTCCCTCATTAGGAACAGATAGTGAAGTATATGCTTCCAAGGGCATGAAATGCATGACCCAGTGCAATTCTAAATGTTCAGATGCCCATGCAAAGTTTACTCAAATTATCTAAACTTCTTTTATTTTGAAAATCAGAGAAAGGCATTTTCTAAGAATCAGACTTTTCTATAGCCTTCTGTTGCATCTGCTCTTGATTGCAGCATGAAAAAAGTAGCATTTTTGTGGTATTCTGGCATTCTGGATATAGACCCATCTGGAAACCAGAAGGGAGTAAAATGATTTTGGACATTTCAAAACTTTATAATAAATTAAGTTTGAGTTGTGCCATACATAGATCTAAAACAGTCACTTTCCTCTAAGTCTTCTCATCCAGCCCTGATGTCTACAACAGATTTGAGAGGAATCTGTCTTCACGTATGTAGGTAAGGACCATTATACTATAAAGTGAAGATGGAATGGCTACTAAGGATAAGTAATTTAAAACAGCATTTGGAGATGACAACTACTTCAAAACTTTGAGAGTCCCCTTGGCTTCCCTGCCCAAGGAGACAGTAAATGCCAGACCACACTAAATGATTTACAAGCAGGTGGTAGATGTGACTGCAGAAGCAAATATCAAGACCATAGTATCATTGATTGGTGCATTTGTTTCTGCTTACTGTGGTTGGCATCATATATAATTTCAATCACAGACAGCAAAAGAGAAATTTAAATAGTGACAGTATCAATAATGATTGCAGTGGACATCATGGGCTTCTGAAGCAACATAGTGATGAAAAAAAAACTCAACTTTTTCTGTATGTGTTCTGTAAAGTGCTTTATTGTGGATTATGTCACATCTCAGCAGAGAAGTTAGCACTAGAAAAATTGAGACTCAAGTTATGAAGTGATTCACCTTAAGAGTGATTGTTGCCATCAATTGAGCTGTATTTTTTTCTGAGAATCTGATATTTGATTTCATAATATCTAATTGGTTTTACTATTATTTGAAATTACAAGACCGTTTTACTATCTGTGAGAGCAGAGCCTAATTTTAGTGGGCAGAACTACAGAAACTTGCAGTGTCTCATCCTAAGCAGCATGACTGTATAGATTACTGAGGAAACCCAGTCATATCCTGCTATAGCAACAGTTGCACAATCCCTATCCTTTAAAAAAGGGATGTAAGCATGTGGTTAGTTTTAAAGACACTTTTACCTGTCATGCTGCAGAAGAGCTTAATCCAAAAATTGCTAAAAGCTCTCCTGCTTCCTCTTTCTCTTGCAGTATCATTGAAGCCAACAGAAACTGAAAATTACATACCTGGAAAGCAACCTTTTCTTTAATGCCATAATACACTCACGATCTCCTGTCTCCTTACCAAGTATAGGAGAATATTTATGAAAATCAGTTCTTACTATCTGAAATACAGGTCTATCCATGCTTTAAACCAGCAGTGTCATACTGCAATGGTTCGTATGAAAGCTGGTAGTAATGTAGAGTAATGACAGCTGAAGGAGGAAAACATCAGACCACAGCTCAGGTTTAATGCCATTAGTGCTCACTTTGATCAGAAAACAATGCCAACGTTCCTGTATGGACTGGCTTTGTCACAGAGCCAAGGCAACATCAAACAGTCTAGCTGGCAGGGTCTGCTCAGCTCATGTCAGAGTGTTCAGTCTTCTTGAAATACTAGAATATGGGTAAACATTAGAATAAATTCTGTGTTTCTGAGCTTTCTATGTATTTGCTGTTTGCAACTCTCCTTTCTACTCAGTTGCATGTTTTGGCTTCCTTCCTTGTAATGTAAATGTTACTTAGTGTTTGGAAATAAGAAAAACATAGCAATGTGTTTTGATAATTCTTCAGAGCTGCCTTTTTGTATTTGGCAAATCTCATTTCAAGGTAGAAAAGGTAACTTGTAAGAAAGCTGTACCCATATCCAGATAAGGAACTTGCTTGCAGTCTGTATTTGAGCATTAGCAATTTTTCTGTTGTGTTCCCCACTGACTTTTGGTTGTCTGGACAGGGACTCATACCACCTAGTTCAGTGCAGGATCTCCAGAGCTCTGGTAAGATGCCTCAAGGGCAGGGTCAGTATTTAGTACAGCTGCAAACAATGCAGTTGGATGGGTAGTGAGAGTAAGAATGGCCCTTACACCTGCTACAGTCCCATGACAACCCAAAGCAGATTAGGTTGTTGTTGTTGTTTTTTTTGTGTGAGGGGTGTGTGTGTGTGTTTTTTTTAAATGCTAAATTGGTTCTAGACACTCCCAGGCTATCCCTGCATAATAAATCTTATTGCCATGTATAGCTATGCTTTTCTGATGATGCAAACTATGCCAGAAGTATATCCTTGAGAGGGTAGATGTGTTATGTTCTATCTGACATTGAAGGTTTGCATTTAACAATCACATTTTTTCTTGCAAGGCAAAACAGACTTGCTAGATAGGAGACAGCTGTCTGGTCAATTGTAAACCAGTCCTGCAGTCCTTTCTCGGGCAAAAAGCTCACTGAAACTTGAATCAACAGAGAACTCTTGGTCTCACAGTTCATGAAAACTGATATGTTTTTCAAAAGCATGAGATTCTGGTAGGACATACTGCTTACTTTGGTTCAGAAAATAGAGAGTGTGTAAGCCAAATAACAGCTGTTTTCAATTGCAAATTTAGGCTTCTAATGTGGTTATAAAAAAACCTGTCATTAACTTTTTTTCTTTTTTTTTTTTTTTTTGGTCTAAGAAATTGGCCTTTCTATATGCTAAATTTGAATATCATTTAAGTGTGCTGTCTGTTTTTATTATAGTCTAGGACTTCATGGAGGTATGGCAGTAAGCAATGAAAAAGATGTGTTTATCCCTCACCACAGGACTGGTACAGCTAGCTCTGTGTGCATTGCCACTGGCACAAAGATGCTGAGAGATGAGGCACTGCTGGTCCAGGCAGTGCAGTCCTTTGTGTTCCTCAAGACTGTGCTGAGAAGGGCCAGATGACACAGTGAAACAATGGAATACATAAAACAAACACTGCATGAGCCCTAATAGGCAACAGAGGAATTCTTGAACTGGAAAGAAAATGTCTAGGCTTGAAAAAAC